ATATATATATATATATATATATATATATATATATATATATATAAAATAGCCTAAAAATCAAGAATTAGGTATACATATTTTTTGAACAATCCAAGGGTTTGAACCAACTTAAGGATAAAAATAAAAAGAGTTAAAGAAATATTTGGCATAATATAAATTATAGAAACCATCTAGGAATATCATAAGTTGTTACCTTATCGATATCTTTTCTTAATTTTTTTAGTTGTTTCAGAATAGCTTTCTTGTCATCTATTCCCATTGACTGCTTATTGCCAGATGAAGATGGAGTATTTGTCGGATGCTAGGCCTGCGCTTCAGCTTCTTCAAACATATATTCAACTTTGTCTCGTAAAGTCATTGTAGAAAGCTCTTTTGGGGTTTCAATCATGTTGTATAGAAATTGCAGTTATATTGTCTCTACCATAAACATGTAGAATTATTGCATTAAGTATGTCAATACTTTGAGACACTGCTACGACCCAAATTCCATTATAGGTCGTGATGGCGCCCAACACCGTTGTTAGGAAGCCAACCCTAATCAACTAGTGAGTCCTCATTTAATTTAATAAAACAACCCCAACATTTACTTAAATACAAAACAGTCGATAATTTAACAAATTTATAAGGTAAATGAACCGGAAAAGACTAAAGGGAATCATAATAATAGGAATACAACCCAAAACTAATAGTCTCCTAATGTGTGTGCCAAAATCTAGTATCACAAGTACGAGGGCAACTAGTAGAATGTACAAAATATAACTATCCTACTTCCAGAAATAGAATAGACAGTAATAACAAAAGAGAGACTCCGGCATGCTGCTGAACGGCTCAGAAGGGCAGCTCACCGTGGAATCTCGGTCAAGTATCAAGAACGCACGCCGGACGGGTAGCTAGATGCACCTGCCTCAGATCCTGTACAATTAAGTACAGAAGTGTTGTATGAGTACAGAAACAATATGCACCCAGTAAGTATCCAGTCTAACCTCAAAGAAGTAGTGACGAGGGGTCGACTTGATACTTACTAGGACCGAAAATAATATAAGTAAGTGTGACGCTAAGCATGGATGTCATGAATGGATAACAGTTAATAACAAGAAGTGACAAGTTCTTTCATAAGTACAATTTCAATTTTCGTCATTTCAATTAACAATTTATATTTCAAAGCATGTAAAGCAGTTCAAATCACAGAAAGTACCAAGCAAATAGCATGTGCAAATAATGCCGAGGTCGTACGGTCCGATCCAACATAATAGTAAAGTGTGCACTGCCGGAGGGTCGAACGGCGCGAACCATAGATGCATCTATTACCCCGCTCGTGAATCACACATGTGACGCGGTCAAATACTAAGACAACACATCAAACAATCAATAAAGAATTCATCATGGAGAGCAATTACCCAAAGTAATGTCAATTTCTCTTTAACGGTCAAGAAAATGATGTTTAACTTTTTAGAAATTCATTTGCCAAGTTCGATATGATTTACGCAATTTAAATTGACAATAAAGTTACAAGTACGGCAAGTAAAGCAAGCTTTTGGGTCCTAGACTACCCGGACTTAAGCATAATTGTTACATCTCGCGTTTTTCGTATGTTAAAGTTTCATCTTCAGTTAATTGACGTAGACTAGGGGATGAGATTATATTGAGATTAGCATATTTATGCTATTTATAACATGCAATAAGTAAGGGCCATGAAGGATAAAGGGTACATGAATTAAAGAAAATGAGTTTCGTTAAAGGTTGTTAAATTTGGATAAAATACGGTCCGAGCTATAGTACCCAACACTTATGGACTAGTACCATACAAGATACCATATGACCGTGATAGTAAGATATATAAAGTATATTTAAAATAAGTAGAATTTTAAGTAATTTGAGATAATTTTTAATTATACGGGTAATTGATTAATTACCGGATAACGGGACATTACCTAATTACCTAATAAGTGGATAAAGATTAAATATCCCACCCCCATCCCCACGTAGCAGCTAGCCATTTTATAAAGGAATGACTAAATAGTCATTCCTTGCTAAGTTGTCAAAGAATTATAATGTCTTTCATTTCCAAGAAATGGCCTAATCAAAAGTTTTTCAACTAAAACAAAACATTTAATTTTCTAATGCCTTACAGAAGGAGGAAACGTTATGTACTTCAAAGTCTTTCAACTAAAACAAAAAAATTCATTTCTAAGGCATTACAGAAGGAGGAAAACGTTATGCACTCTTAAAAAATAATCTCTTTCAAGCTTCATTCTCCAAGACATTAAGATCAGATCCTACAAGTTGCAACGGTTCCACCAAGATTTAGCAACGTAAATTTTGCGGTTCTAAGGGAGTAAGGTGTACCTCTTTTTCAAAGACATCATACAGATTTTTTCCTACTCCAGGTATGTTAAGGCTAAGCCTTCTTTCATTTTGGAATGATCTCGTAACTACACGAGTTTGATAAGGAAGCATAAAGAAAACTTCATATCCCGGAATTTATGTATATTTTGCTAGTCTCGCAAGTTTCTTTCAACGTAGTTAAAAGTGTTTGTTATCTGAATTGGTTAATAACTTCTGCATGATTATCTTATTCTCTACTTTTGTAGTGTACTGATGTATGATTAAGTTATTTTCCTAGTTTCAATGGCACGTTTGAAACATATGTATGATTCGGTTATTTTCCTATTTTCAATGGCACGTTTGAAACATATGTATGATTCAGTTATTTTCTTAGTTTTGTAAGTTACAATAATCTCCATATCGGAACTTTATATTCAATTGAGTATTTTCTTCTTCCAGTCAAGAGAGCAGAGAATTTATATATACAGTATTAAAGTATTTTCATTACCATCGAACTATAATTGATGGGCAGGCCCCTATTGGGCAACCGTTGATTAGATGGTAAGTTATGCACCAAGCCTACTGTGCCGAGCGCCTATGAGCGAGCCCAGTTGGTCGAGATACAGAGCCTAGTATGGCCGAGTGCCTATGAGCGAGCCTACTACGGCAGAACATATATATATATATATATATACATATATATATATCGAGTCTTATATGGCCAGACAACTATTTTACTTACCATATTAAGGGAGTTGAGTCAGTATCAGCATATGAGCATATCTTCAGATTTTCTTTGACTCTCAGTTTCTTTCAGTTATTATGTTATCAGTTCAGTTTCAGCTTTTAGTACATTGCCTTACATACTCAGTACATTATTTCATACTGATGTCCCATTCTGGGGGCGCTGCATTTCATGCGTGCAGGTTCAGACAAACAGACGGGTAGACCTCCTCAGTTGGCGTTGCCTGAGTTCAGCCTTATCGATAAGCTCCCCGTCTTTTGGAGTTGCCGGGTCTAGCAGTTTGGTATACATCTTGCGCATTTATGTAGATAGGCTATGGGTAGGTCGGGGCCCTGTTCCGATCACAGTACATCTGTCAGTAGAGGCTTGTAGACATATCCTGTCAGTTAGTGCAGTATGCTGGGCTTGTAGGCCCTGTACGTATATTTTGTTAGCTCGTCAGTTGTAGTAATTATGACGGCCTTGCCGGCCCAGCTGTTGACATTTAGTCACCGTTAGTCTCTATTCAGTTATATATTTTGCCTCGTATATTATCTTGTAATGTGGCCACGACCAACGTATGACATTACATGTTCAGAGTCTCTTAGTCGCAAGTGATACACAAGGATAGGTAAGGCACTGGGTGCGGGTCTCACCCCCAAGCTGGAGGCGTGACAAGAGTGGTATCAGAGTAGTTCTGTCCTATGGAGTCTACAAGCCGTGTTTAGTAGGGTCTTTTTTATAGATGTGTGGTGCACCACATTATATAAGCAGGGGACTACAGGGCATTTAGTAGTTGGTTACCCTTCTTTCAAATCTAAATCGTGCTGTAGCACTGAGTTATTGGAAATTTGAGTTAAACAAACATGTTAATGTTTGCATGCATAGATGACGGTAACTAGGAAGACTACAGCTAGCTAGAGGAGAGGAACAACAGTAGGTGAGGGGACTAGCAGGGTACCCCCAGTAGATGGGGCCCAATCGGAGTCCTAGGGAGAGACCCATACCCAGCAATTACCGACTCCTCCGCCACCTGAGGAGATTCCTAGGGAGACCGCACATCCAGTTCTCCTTCCGCTTCCATCAGATTAGGACTTGAGAAGTGTGGTGCATTTGTTGGCACAGTTGGTAGCTACCCAACAACATGCTAGGGCATCCGCTAGTACAGGACCATCCGAGGGATCTGGGAGTTCAAGGGTCCGAGAGTTTATTGCTTTGAGTCCTCCAGAGTTCACGAGGACAGATCAGAGGGAGGACCCGCAGGATTTCATAGATCAGCTTCACAGGATCTTTCGGGTTACGCATTCCACGGAGAAAGAGGCAGTTGAGTTAGCAGCTTTTCGACTCCGAGATATATCAATCCTTTGGTACGAGGGATGGGAAAGGTCCAGGGGACGTGATGCACCTCCAGCTATTTGGGAAAATTTTTCAGATGCTTTTCTTGACCAATACTTACCGCAAGAGATCCGACAGGCCCGGCTCGACCAGTTTCTAGCCCTCAAGCAGGGAAATATGAGCATTCGAGAGTAGTCTCCGTTTTGACTCATTGGCCATATATGCACCATCCATAGTTTCTACTATGCGGGACAGAATCCACAGGTTTATAGCAGGGTTCGCCCTAGAGTTGACTGAGGCTTGTTCCATCGCTGCATTACAGGATAGTATGGATATCTCTCGGATTCAGGCATTTGCCCAGAATATTGAAAGGGGTAGGCGTCGACAGCAGGTTACGGAGAGGACTGAGTCAGGGTAACGGAAGAGGATGAGACTTGCTAGATCTTAAGAGCAATCTCAGGGTAGTTATAGGCCCCAGTACTTCGAACGACCACCTAGACCTCCGCCACCTTAGTCACAGGGTTACATGTATGACCGTTATACTCAGTCAGGATCAGGTGAGAGCTCCCAGGCGTCAAGTTTGCAACGATAAAAAGGTTCAAGGCAGACATGGCCATTTTCGCCGCGGTGTGCCATCTGCAGTAGAGCACATTCGGGCCAATGCCGAGCCGGTTCTGATGCTTGCTATACATGTGGACGTCCGGGGCATATGATGCGAGATTTCCCAGATAGATATTTTGGGGGAACGGCGCAACCAGCGTATTCAGCAACAGTATCAGCTATGTCTATGCATCCTTCAGGGCGCGAGTCTCAGCCTTCGGCTGGTAGAGGTCGAGGCAGAGGTAGAGGGTCCAGTTCAGGTGGTAACCAGAATTGTATCAATGTGCTAGCGGGTCGACAGGACCAAGAGTCCTCACCAGACATTGTGATAGGTATGTTGACCATTTGTTCTCGCGATGTTTATGCCTTGGTAGACCCAGGATCTACTTTATCATGTATTACCCTATTTGTCGCAAAAGAATTTGGTATAGTTCTTGAAATACTAAGTGATCCTTTTGCAGTATCTACACTGGTCGGAGAATCGATTATTGCTAGACGAGTTTACCGAGGTTGTACGTGTCAGTTTGTGGTCATCAGACCTCAGCCGACCTAGTTGAGCTAGAGATGTTTGATTTTGATGCTATCATGGGCATGGATTGGTTGGCAGCTTGCTATGCCACAATTGATTGTCGAGCAAAGATAGCTAGATTTCACTTTCCGGGTGAGCCAGTCCTTGAATGGGTAGGTAATACAGCAACAACCAGAGGTAGCTTTATTTCCTATCTGAAGGCGAGGAAAATGATCGCAAAAGGGTGCATTTATCATATTGTGCGAGCTAAAGATGCTGATGCTGAGATACCTACACTTCAGTCTACTCCAGTAGTAAAGGAATACACGGATGTATTTCCAGATGAACTTCCAGGTATTCCTCCAGAGCGAGAGATTGATTTTCGCAGCGATTTGCTTCCTGGAACGCAACCAATATCCATCCCTCCATATAGAATGGCACCTACTGAACTGAAGGAGTTGAAGGAGTAGTTAAAAGATTTACTGGAGAAAGGTTTCATCAGACCCAGTACCTCACCTTGGGGTGCACAGGTACTGTTTGTACGGAAGAAAGACGGCATGCTAAGGATGTGTATCGATTATAGGCAACTGAACAAGGTAACTATTAAGAATAAGTATCCACTTCCAAGTATTGACGACTTGTTTGATCAGTTATAGGGAGCTAGATGCTTTTCAAAGATAGATTTGAGGTCAGGATACCACCAGGTCAGAGTTCGGGAGAAAGATATTCCCAAGACCGCCTTCATGACCCGATATGGCCACTTCGAGTTCCTTGTCATGTCCTTCGGGTTGACGAATGCGCCTGCCATATTTATGGACTCGATGAATAACCTATTTCGGCCATATTTAAATCTATTCGTGATAGTTTTTATTGATGATATTCTGGTTTATTCGCGTTTAGAGGATGAGCATGTGGACCACCTGCGAGCGGTACTCCAAACCCTCTGTGATAATAAATTGTATGATAAGTTTTCTAAATGTGAGTTCTGGTTGAAGTCTGTAGCATTTTTGGGGCACATGTATCCGATGGAGGTATAAAGGTAGGCAATCAGAAGATTGAGGCTGTGAAATCCTGGCCTAGACCTACCACTCCGACAGAGGTTCGTAGCTTTCTAGGCTTAGCAGGATACTACCGGAGGTTCGTAGAGGGTTTTTCTTCTCTTCCATCACCATTAACGAAGTTGACGCAGAAAGCAGCTAAGTTTCAGTGGACAGAGGTCCGTGAGCAGAATTTCCAAGATCTTAAGAACAGGTTGACCTCAGCGCCAGTTCTAGCACTTCCAGAGGGTCCAGATGGTTATGCCATGTATTGTGATGCCTCAGGTGTCAGGTTAGGATGTGTCCTGATGAAACATGGGAAAGTAATTGCGTATGCTTCAAGGCAGTTAAGGAAGTATGAGCGGAATTATCCGACCCACGGCCTCGAATTAGCTGTGGTTGTTCATGTACTTAAGATATGGCGACATTATTTATACGGTGTTCATGTTGATGTGTTCATAGATCATAAAAGCCTGCAATATATCTTCAAGCAAAAAGAGTTGAATTTGCGACAGAGGCGATGGCTTGAGTTATTGAAAGATTACGATGTTAACATTCTCTACCATCCAGGGAAAGCTAATGTTGTAGCAGATGCCTTAAGTCGCTGATCTATGGGTAGCTTAGCACATGTAGAGGCTGAGAAAAGACAATTAACTAGAGAGATTCATCAATTGGCTTGTTTGGGGGTTCGGTTAGTAGACTCTGGCAATGGAGGAGTTGTACTCCAAAATACTGCAAAATCATCTCTCATAGCTGAAGTAAAGGAGAGGCAGTACGAGGACCCAGAGTTAGTCAAGTTGAGAGAGCGGGTTCCACAACAGAAGAAGCCATTGTTAGAACTCAAAGGAGATGGGGTTGTCAGATACAGGGGTCGTTTGTGTATTCCAGATATAGTAGGGTTACGAGACAGGATTATGTCAGAGGCACATTATTCATGGTATTCCATTCACCATGGGTCGACGAAGATGTATCATGACATTAAGGATGTTTATTGGTGGAACGATATGAAAAAGAACATTGCAGAGTATGTCGCTCAATGCCCTAGTTGCCAGCAGGTGAAATAGAGCACCAGAAGCCCGAGGGCTAATGCAGACTATAGATATCCCGACATGGAAATGGGAGGCGATAAACATGAACTTTATCACGGGTTTACTTCGTTCTCATCGTAAGTTTGATTCCATATGGGTGATAGTTGACCGGCTCACGAAATCAGCTCATTTCCTTCCGGTCAGATCTACATATACAACAAAGATTATGCAAAGTTATATATTAAAGAGATAGTGCGACTACATGGAGTGCCAATATCTATTATATTTGACCGTGGGGCCCAGTTTACAATACATTTTTGGAGGTCATTTCAGGGACTAGGGTGAATCTCAGCACAGTTTTTCATCCACAACCTGATGGACAAGCCGAGCGCACAATTCAAATGCTCGAGGATATGTTACGAGCATGTGTGCTGGATTTTAAAAGAAGTTGGGATGAACATCTACCTCTTATCGAGTTTGCATATAATAACAGCTACCACTTCAGTTTCCAGATGGCTCCATACGAGGCTTTATATGGGCGTAAGTGCAGATCTCCTATAGGGTGGTTTGATGTTGGAGAATCTGGGTTACATGGGCCAGACCTGGTTCATCAGGCGACTGTTGGCAGCTCAGAGTCGTCAGAAGTCATACTCTGACGTGCGGCAACGAGATTAGAGTTCAGGTTATTGACTGGGTGTTCTTAAAGGTGTCACCTATGAAAGGTGTGATAAGGTTTAGAAAGAAAGGCGAACTTAGCCCACGGTATATTGGACCTTATAGGATCATTCGGAGAGTGGGCCAAGTAGCTTATGAGTTAGAATTGCCCTCGGAATTGGAGTCTGTCCATCCGGTATTTCACGTATCTATGTTACGAAAGTGCATTGGCGATCCTTCCTGAGTGGTGCCCACAGATGATGTACAGATTATAGAGGACTTGTCATACGAGGAAGTTTCGGTTGCCATCCTGGACCGAAAAATCCGCAAGCTACGAAATAAGGAGATAGCGTCCGTGAAGGTTTTATGGAGAAGTAAGAAGGTGGAAAAAATGACGTAGGAAACAGAGGAAGAAATGAAGTCTAAATACCCCCACCAATTTCAAACTGGAGATATGGCCCGGGATCTATGGGATACCTCAGCACAACCCTATTCAGGCCAGTAGGTCATCAGGTAAGCTCTCATTTTGACTCTCAGAATTTACAATGAATAGTTGTGTGAAGCCAAGTGTTGCTATTTATAGATAGTGGTCATGTGTGGCGTGTATAGTATATTTTCTCGCTGCGTACAGGTTGTTTTTAGTCTAGTGTACGGAAGAGACTCCGGATTTTTTTTTCCCTAAAGCATCTGAGAGTAGACATTCGAGGACGAATATTTCTAAGAGGTAAAGGATGTTACATCTCGCGTTTTTCGAACGGTAAAGTTTCATCTTCAGTTAATTGACGTAGACTCGGGGATGAGATTATCTTGAGATTAGAATATTTATGCTATTTATAACAAGCAATAAGTAAGGGCCATGAAGGATAAAGGGTACACGAAATAAAGAAAATGAGTTTCGTTAAAGGTTGTTAAATTTGGATAAAATACGGTCCGGGCTATAATACCCAACACTTATGGACTAGTACCATACAAGATACCATATGACCATGATAGTAAGATATATAAAGTATATTTAAAATAAGTAGAATTTTAAGTAATTTGAAATAATTTTTAATTATGCGGGTAATTGATTAATTACCGGATAACTGGACATTACCTAATTACTTAATAAGTGGATAAGATTAAATATCCTACCCCCATCCCCACGTGGCAGCTAGCCATGTTATAAAGGAATGACTAATAGTCATTCCTTGCTAAGTTGTCAAAGAATTATAATGTCTTTCATTTCCAAGAAATGGCCTAATCAAAGTCTTTCAACTAAAACAAAACATTTAATTTTCTAATGCCTTACAGAAGGAGGAAACGTTATGTACTTCAAAGTCTTTCAACTAAAACAAAACAATTCATTTCTAAGGCATTACAGAAGGA